ATAGGAAGAAAAAGTTCTTATTAGTGCGCATATCCTAATTGTGATTTTTTTTAAGTACTTAAAAGGCTTAAATGTTTAGCTGAGAAATTAGGGTTACCCATCCTGTTACATTTCCAGATAAGGCTTAACTAGGTCCTAATGATATGTTACATCGCCATATGCGACTTAGCTTAACTATTATAATATATCGCAAAAATAGGGTTAGCTCGATTCTGTACCGCAATGAAAGGTTTAGCTAGGTCTTGATGTTTTTTATCGCGAAGTTAGACTTTATAAGTTACCACCTTAGGCTTATCTAGGCCTGAATAATATGTTACACCACTACATTAGGCCTAAATAGTATGTTACACAACCAGATTAGGCTTAGCTAGGCCTAAATAGTATGTTACATCGCCACATTAGGCTTAGCTAGGCCTGAATAGTATGTTACACAGCCACATTAGGCTTAGCTAGGCCTTAATAGTATGTTACACCACCAAATTAGGCTCAGGTAGATCTTAATATACACCGCCGCATTAGGCTTAGCTAGGCCTACATAGTATGTTACACCGCCACATTAGGCTTAGCTAGGCCTGAATAGTATGTTACACAACCAGATTAGGCTTAGCTAGGCCTAAATAGTATGTTACACCGCCACATTAGGCTTAGTTAGGCCTAAGTAGTATGTTACACAACCACATTAGGCTTAGCTAGGCCTAAATAGTATGTTACACCGCCACATTAGGCTTAGCTAGACCTTAATATACACCGCCGCATTAGGCTTAGCGAGGCCTAAATAGTATGTTACACCGCCACATTAGTCTTAACTAGGCCTAAATCGTGTGTTACACCGCTACATTAGGCTTAGCTAGGCCTTAATACTATGTTACACCTCCAAATTAGGCTTAGCTAGACCTTAATATACACCGCCGCATTAGCTTGGCCTAAATAACGTTGCACAATCACACGAGGCTTAGCCAGGCCTAAATGGTATGTTACACCACCACGTAAGGCTAAGCTAGACCTTAATTATATGCTACATACAGTCTGTTACTTTAAGCTTATCTACGGCTTGATTACATGGCACACCGCTAAGGGCTCAGCTAGGCTTTAAAATTTTGCACTACCGGGTTGCGTTTTTCCAATCCAGCGGCTTCTAACGATCCGTGCTCTTCTGTTTGGTATTTCCTCATATATATATATATATATATATTCCTGCAGATTTTATTAACTTTACTTTAATTGCCTTAATCTATGTTATAAGAGTATTTGAAATCAAGCATATGCATTTATTTAGTTCTTTATTGCAGAAATAGGAATGAAATTTTATAAATGCATATAAAAATAATTTTTCGCCATAGCAAAGTTCCTATTTACTCAAAGAATAAAAATATTGAGAAAAAATATCAACATTACTGTTTANTGGATCAGTCTGCGTAGGGACCGAGGGTGTGCGGTATTGGTTCTCGTTAAACTGTTCTACCGTAAAGTGCTCGACCTCGCGTGCAGGTAGTCGGGCTACCGAAGCTGGGGTACCATCCCCTCTGCGGAGGATCAAAATTGTGATGGCATGTCTTCGGATCATCCTCAGGGATGTTTCCCAGACAGTCGCCAATAGCCCATTGTGCAGCTCTAGTGCGACGTAAATGATCGAAATCAAATTATGATTTCGACCTAGAAAAAAAATCTGCAACATTGAGGGAGTCGTCAAGCTTAGCTAAGAGATTATTAGAATACGTTAGGTTTAAAGGTTATTTCCTAACCGTCACGAGAGTTCTGCACTGTCTTTATACATCTGAACTCTCTGTTCTATTTCACTTATCTGCTGATAAATGAAATAATCGCATATTTAATGACAGAAAATTACAAAGCTTTATTTTAGGGAGAAGGCCATCTCAGATTTAGCCCATAAAAATAATGGCACATGTTCAAAATGACAACTCCTGAAAAGTTTTGGTGCCCCCCTCCCTTTTAAAGATATTTATTAGAGAAATGAACATTTTGTGCATTCAGTTTTTTCTTTATTTCTATCAATGTATGTCAGTTGCGACTAGTATATGTTAACTGCTCGCTTCGCTCTCCGATTCTCATTATTGCTTCTCAATCACTCCGGTTTCTTGATGATACAGATTGTCATACTTAAAGTATCATGCATTATTCTATTTTTAACAATATTTCCCATGAAACTTAAACAATAGTAAACTTTTACGGATTAATTAATGGTGCAGTTTAATTAATAGTAAATTATTTGCACCTTTTTAATAATTAGTTCAAAAATCATAGCGAAAAAATGGGCTTAATCTGAAAAAATTAATACTTAAGGTATTTCTGACAGCAACAAAAAAGCTTTTTCATTTTATTATTGAATGATACCTAATAACCCTCCTCTTTTTCTTGAGGGAAGTTCCAGACAGAGAAGTGAAGCATTTCCTCTGATGTATTTATTCACCCTAAATTGAATGAGACCAATCTCGAAACAATCACACTAATATTAAATAATCCCAATAAACTGAAGCGGTAAAGGTATTACCTGATTAAAAACTTCATTCGCATCCGATATTGTTATTTAAGTGAGAGAAACGTTATTTCTAGTGTTGTTTTTTTCTCTTTACGTTGAACGGAAGACTATACACAAGTCAATAAAACTTATCTGTAATTAAAGTACTATTTTTGACAGGACTTATGTATACTTTGCTATGCAAGGGACACTTAAGATACATTCATTGCCTGACAAAATGTTTATATGGAATTGAATGAGATAAAATTTGAGTTAATAAATTAATAATTTTAAAAGCATAAGTACTTTTCTTTTTTCCCCATAACTGCCGACATGGATAAGAAAAAAACCCCAGGAGATTTTGCAAAATAATATCGATTTCATGATAATTGTTTCATAGAAAAACTGCAATGTTTTTCAGTTATGATTGACAATTAATCAACTGGAAATGTTATGTATTATGTTTAATCATAATTTTAAATGGTAATAGGCATTTAATTCATTAGAAATATTTAAAAGATTTCTTAATCAATTCAAAAAGTTTTAGATGAAAATAAACTGAACATTTTAGAACAAAATGAAAGGTTCTAAACTGAATTTTATAAATGAGGCTCGCTTCATTATGCAATTAAGTATTCTTTATGAGTAATACTTATTTAAGTATGAAAGCAAGCAATGAGAATCGGTCTAAAAATTCAATTTTAATACGGATTTTTTTTAAAGAAACTTACTCACAATTTTAGGGAATTTTCTAAAATGTAGAAAAACTAGTAGAAACAAGCAAAATCCAGTAGAATTGGCAGCTATGTTTTTCATATTCCGAGTAATTCAAAAATTGCGCGTTTCATATGAATTTTTTTTTTTTGTTAAAGATATCAGTTCCTTTCAATTCGTATTTGGTCGCTTTCCACTAAGAGAAAAATATATATAAAATACAAAACTTTACTTCTGTATAGCAATGTAAGATGCGTAAATAAATGAGAGTACAAAATTATACTTAATGAACGCCAAAACCCTTTGATTTTATCGATTCCTATTGTGGTATTGCTTTTATGATGTTTTGTTACTTTTATATATATGTGGTATTGCTTTAATGATGTTTTGTTACTTTTATATATATGTGGTATTGCTTTTATGATGTTTTGTTACTTTTATCTTTGCTGCACTGCTCTGCACTGCTATAATTACTTTAAAGTTTTAGTTTCTCTTTCATAAGTTTTCACCTGCCCTTTTCTGCCCTTAAATAATTTAGCCAAAAATAAAATAAAAAAGAAATAGCAAGTATAGCCCTACTTATTTTGTGATGGTGGTAACAGCCAATAAGGGTTGAGTATGCTTTGGGGGCTTGGTGAGAGGAGGTGAGAGAAAAGGTGAGGGCACATGGTTTTGGAGAGCTGAGGTTAAGACACAAAAAATATGAGGATCCTCAACAGCTAAGTTATATTATAAAATTTTCTATCACCCCTTAATTATTATTTTATTTATTTTACATATTAGCAGTGCAGCTTCATAATGTATAATTTCATGTAAATTCATTTTATGTACCTATTATTAATTGGTGTGAATGCCTTCCTGGAACAAAATTTGTAACTCTAAATATCTTAAATGATCTACTTTAATTAAATAGTTTTAACACCTTGCAATTAGTGATCATTCTAATGATCTTGTTCTCTTACTTAAGAGTATATTATTTTTAATTGTTATTCATTTTTATTCTTATCTTAATGTGTGTGGTGATGAACTGAACATCACCACACTATTTTGAATAATTTAAATCAAAATAAACAATTACAAAGGAAAATTTACCTTACACGTTGAGATAGTCGCTAGACAACATGTATACATGCATACTAAAGTGTATACATAAGTGTGAAAATAAATATTTTTTTTTTACATAAAAACTAATGCAACTTTTGAAATATTCATTCTATTGTTTTGTGCATAGTCTCGTCCAATTTCATGAGGAAAAATAGACAGAAAACAATGGCGTTCTTGTTCAAATATCTATTCTATTGTTCAACTTTTAAATTGCACACAATATGAAAAAAAAAAACTTACAACTTCAAAAAAAAAAATTTCTTTCAAAATTTATCTCACTCAATGCAGTATAAAAATTTTCCCCTAAGAATGTACCTTACATGTTCAAATAGTCCTTACATAACCAGGGGTCTGTCTAGGTTTTTCTGTGAGGCACCTATTTTGTGAAAATGTAGACATAATTTGTGAAAATTAAAAATTATATTAAGAAATCGACAAAAGAAAGTGGTAAAAATATGGTTTATCGTTTCTTACGGGACACAAAAATAAAATTTTAAGAAAAAGTATTTTTCCCCCAGTTGAAATTGTGAAGGTACCGCTAAATGGTAGTAAATTTGACCTGGGGCAGACCTCTGATAACAAAGTTAAAAGTTGACAACAGTCATGTCAAAAATAGTCTCTTGGATACTAAAGAGCAATAAAAAATACAGTCCTTTGAATACATATCAGTCTCAATGTATTTTTAAGTATATAAAACAAAACAAAATTGCACTTGCAAAGACTTTATTAAACCAAAAGTATAAAAAGAAAAATCAAAAAATTATTCATCAATTTTATTGTTGATTAAACGAACAAATGGCATAAAATCAATGTTAAAGTAAGCTTCGATCACCCTATTTATCATTTCAGACAATAAACTATCGTTGTACCCAATCTGAGCTGCACAGGCTGAAATAGCAAACTCAAAATGATTATTTTCCCTACACCCTTGAAAATACTCAAACGGAATCTTAACATCTTGGCGCTGGCATAATTGATTGTTATAAAAAAAGGTAAACTTCTCCTCCCCTTCCAAATTGCAATACAGGCCAGCAACGGGCTGTTTGTTATCCCTCGAAACGATCGTTCTGAAGTTAAAAACTATATTCCTCTTCTCCGCAACATCGATAGCGCTCAAAAACTTCTGACCGACGTAAATCAGGTTCGTCCAGCTGTTAACCTTCCCGTTTCGAGTGTCCTTCACGGACCACTTCAGGTAATTCCTGCCTTCGTCCACCTCGTAGCAGTACTCCTTTTTAGATTTGGCAGTCTCACTCGACAAAAACCAACCTGTATTGGGGTAGAGGCCGTCGGCCATGACTACCACTGGAATGTTGACATGATAACCGGGGTCTAACAAAATGTAACCCTCCCTCTCCTCCACCATGATCCTCACGACCACCAAGACGTGCTCCTTCACGCTGCAGTTGAGGGACGAAGGGGTGCACCTCACATAAGAATCAACGTCTACGATCATCTCCTCACAGGATGCAAGAAACAAAGAAGACTTCAACTCGGGGTAACACACATCGAGAACGGATCTCATACTATCTATCAAAGAATAACCTAACCCGACGCATGAAAGACTCTCGGGAAGTACAGAGGGCTGATAGCTATGATAGAATTCCTCCAGAGGGCGCGCCTGCTTGACGAAGGCATCATAGAATGCCAGAAAGCTACCAACAGTGTTGTAAGGGTGACATCTCAGCTCCGATTCGAGTATATCACCCAGCTCTTTCAAGAAGATTTTCAATGTTACAAATGATGAGAACTCCAGGTGTTCTGGTTCACATCCCCATTGTGCCGGTGGCAAAGGTTGCTCATTGTCAGCTCTTTCTTTAAAAGATTTGTCTGGGTTTACCTAAAATTTAAATAATTATCAGTTAGCTCTTGCCAATCAAATCTGGTTTATTTTAATGGGAAATTGTTATCCTAATGTTTCTGACAACATTTTCTTACATTTTTTAAGTACAAAAATTTTTACAACATAACTTATTAATATGATTTAAATTTATTGATGATTTGATTCTTTTTGATTGTAATGGTTTTGATTTAATTAAAGATATTTATCCTAAAATACTTAATTTTTAATAAAGAATAACTCAGATGTTAAAGAAGCCAATTTTTTAGATATCGATAATACAATTCATAAAGATGACACTTTAATGGAATTATATGACAAAAAAAGAGATTTTAAGTTTAAAAATTATTAGTTTGACACATTTTAATTCCAACTTATACTTTAAAATTTTTAAAAATATTAAAAAATTCCTAGGTTCAAATTTATTTCTAATAATAAAACAGATTTTCTTTCATTAAGAACTTCAGAATTACTTTGGATAAATAATTTTCCTTTCAATTATTGTAATTATAATTGTTTAAATTCAAAATGTCTCAGACAAGTTCAATTAATTTGGTTGACATTGAAGCTTGCATAAGTAGACCTATGAGGCGTAAAATAGAATTTTTAGTTCCACATGAATATAACAGCACTTAATTTTCCTGATTCAGGAATTTTGCCTTTTTCAAGTTTTTTTCGAAAGAGGTCCGCACTGTTATTATTTAATTTCATTTTAATGTTTAATGAAAATTTACATTATTTTGGTTTTTCTAACTGTAACTTCCTCTTTGTATTTCTCATATGTAGATGTGTCAGTCTAAGTTTTTTTTCTTTTTTCGGTGCAATTTTGACTTGTGCAACTGTGTGTGTCACCGGATTTTCGCACAACAGAAAGGGTTTAGCATGCTGGCAAAGCAGTGCGTCCCCTGATGAAGGCCGTTGCTAACATGCGTATCTTTAGATTTTACTTGAATTTAAATTCGCACATTTTCATTTATATTGTTTAATTAAAACAATTCTGGTATTTAGCATTTTTCAATTTTGACTTTCTGCTTTTAAATTAAATTTTGTTAATTTTTGTTTAATTCTAATTTTATACTTTGAACGGATAAGAAACTAATATTTAACTTTGAGCTGTTTTACCAAAAGAATTTTCTTTCTTCTGCTCAAAATCTTTCAAGAATCAACGATAGTATCTACACTAATCTTACTAAAAATAATTAGAACACCTAAAATGTTCAGCTTGAATAGTGATAGCTTTTCAGTAAAAATGTAAAACTTGGGAGGCAGTTCAAAAATATACCTCTCAAATAATTAAGTTTAAAAACACACATATTTTTTCTACAAAATATAAATATAATTACCTCATCTTTGGTTGAACATGTTCTGTCAGGTAGAATCAACTCTGTCTCGAATTCTTTGCTGTAAAATAATTTTAAATATGTTTATTATCAAAGTTTAATATGCAGGTCAATAATTTTAAATATGCAGGTATCAACTCTAGCTATCAGTAATCAGAAATACAACAGCTTAGAAATATATACAGTTTGCATAGATGAAATTCAAATTAATGGAGCCTTACGACATACTACTTAATTCCATATAGGTATATAATATTGATAAACTCTTGCACGAATTTACTATTAAATAAATAAAAAAAGTAAAATTTAGATAAAAGTAATTAATTAAAAATCACACAACACTGACATTCTATATCCCATTTTCCAAATTAAAATGATTATGAAAAATTAATGATTCAATTTTTGGTTGAATTAAAACTATTTTTTTTCTTTGTCCTATAAGTTTTTGCTTGTGGCATTTCAGAATTGAGTTTTAATGTTGTTAGAACTGTTTAAGGATACAAGAAATAATAAAAATTATCGTACATCAGCCGCGAACAACAAAATTTTGGCAACTGAAGGGGGAGAAAAAATTTAAAAAGATTTTGAAAATTTATGTTTCATTTTAGCTTCTGAAACCAACAATGCATAGGTCATGAATTTTTTGACACTGACTTCAGCTCAAAAAAACTGCTAAAACAGTCACGGCATCAAATAAATCATCAGATCCATTCCTTAATTTTGAAACGAACTAATTTCAGAACTGTTTGTAATAAAATAAAAGAACAAGTGCATCACATGCGTAATAAAATGGGGAGATATAGATGAAGAAAGATTCCAAGCTAAATAATTTATATCTAGACGATTCTCCAATGAAGTCTTTCGAAACAGTAAATAATCCAAGTAAGATTAAACACTTTTAAAAAAGTTCGTCAACACTTGTAAACTAATTTAACTCTTCCAGGAGAAAGTTCATAAACTTAACAAAGGAATTCATATCTGCTATCAGATCAGATTCAAATCGGAAGTGTGGTTCAAAGAACTAAGGATGCAAGTGCAACTGTCTGCCGAGACAACGTACCGGAAATATTTTATGACACGAAGATGAACAAGTAATTTTTAACCATTTCCAATTAAATATACAAAAAGTTGGAAGGAGTAAACAAATCTAAAAAAAAAGAAAAAAAAAGCCAGCAAGCGTTAACAAAATAGTCCGCACTCCCCCCTAAGAGCCTGCAATGGGTGACATTGATCACCCAGTCACCCACATCTATAACAATAAAATGATTTACCTGTTGGGGTGAATGAGTGGTTCCTCGAGTCAAGATGGCCATTGTGCAGCCAACTTCTCAGCTATACTGAATGAACAACCTTTCAAATGCTGTACAAACAACCCATTATTAGAACTATCACTTTCGTCCAATGTATCTGAAATCAAAATATTTATATAGAATTCATTCATTTTAGACTAAAAGATTTTATTCTGATAATTTAAGACTATGCTCAGGGGTGTGTCTAGGGTAAATTTACTGCCTATAAGCGGTAGCTTCACAAATTAAATTTTTAGAAAAACGGTAGTTTCACAAAATACTTAACATATTTATGAAAAATATTAAAATATTTTCCTATTTTACCTTATTTTTGTGTTGATTTTTTAATATAATTTTCAAATTTCACAAATTATGTCTAAATTTTCACAAAATAAGTACCTTTAAAAAAAACCTAGACAGACCCCTGATGCTATTACAAAACAGAAATTTTGAAATAACAATTACTTTTTGTTTTAAGCAACATTTCGTCATCGTTTTCAGAATATTGATACCTTTTAATGCATTATTATTGTGATGATTTTTTGATGAATTAATAAATCATGCACATTTTAAAACATAGCTATTTTAAATTAAATTTCCCTTTAGAAAATGTTTCTTTTCAATGATAAATTTAAGAACTCTATATACATTTCTGGTAACTTAGAAGCTACATGATTTTTTGTGAATTACTCTTTATTGTAATTGGGAAAATTTAGTGTCCTTTTCAGTTTTTAGCAACCTGCCTAATTCAGGGTATAGAAGGACCACTGAAAATTTTATCTATAAGTTACGAAAAAGGATAAATAATGTGGTCAAAAATATAATTTTAAAACTACACTTAGCTGAAACGATTCAGCAACTAAAAAAAACATTATATTGCCACTGACATTTGGCTGTTATATTCTCATTTCCAACCCTGCATGTAGGACACAGGAATGCTACAACAGAATCAGTGAAGCAGCTAAGAGAGGATTTTCAGGGGTCTGTCTGGGTTTTTTTTTTTAGAAGTACCTTTTGTGAAAATTTTAGACATAATTTGCGAAAATTAAAAATTATACTAAAAAATCAACACAAAAATATAGTATGAAAATGTTTTCAAACATTGTAACTTCCAAAAAAAATCATTTATGACAGGTAAATTTCTGTTTGCTATTGTAAAATCATGAGCTTAAAATTGCACCCAATTTTGAAATTCCATAAAAATCATTGTCTGCAGTTAAATTTCAACTTGAATTTAATAAAAACATATTTTTAACACTAAAAGTTATTTTTATTATGAGAACATTTTAGACTAGGTCATACAGAAAAAAGTTTCACAGAGAAAAATTTTTTTTCATAAAAAGTAAAGGTCTGTTAGAATAAATTAACAATAGTGTTCAAGATAATGTTCGAATTTTGACTTCCTGCAAAGTTTACAAAGGGAGACCCTCGTAGTTTCATTTTAAAAAACTCAGCTAAAAAAAAAGAGCTTGTTTTGATATGGGGTGATCGACCAGTTAGGTTTACCATATTGCTGAATCTGACCAGGCATGTGCTACCTTTTTTTAAAAGACAACTGGAAAAAAAAAGCTCCTTTTCCTAGATTGCAACGAGAACGGGGTTGGCATGAGAACTTGCTTTATTAAAAGTATTTTATAAAACTAATGTTTTTTTTTAAAGTTGAATTTATGAAGGCACCGCAACTTCCAAAAATTATTCTAAAGAATAGGACTCTGTGATAAATCGATGCATTGGAAAATATAGATTTTATACCATCATTGAATTTGGATTGGCAATTTTTTCGAAGCACCGGCTCAATTTTTCGAAGCACCGGCAATTTTTTCGAAGCTCACATGAAGAGCATTTTCCTCCGTAAGTGTGCAATGATAGCTGTGGAGATGATCATTATATTTCCTTATCTTTTTTTACATCGTGACTCATCATTTTGCAGACATGATGAATCCAATTGTCATTGAGAATCAAATTTTTGTTGAATCTGTTAGTTATGGAAGTTTTTCTCTTTTTTTAAATTGAGTGTGTGCAAATCCTGTTTTTTTTTTTGGACAATCAATCCAGCTGCTTAATGTTTTTCAGCCACTATTTTTCAGATATCCACATTCTTAAATATTGATAAATTATAAAAACATCACGATGTCTAAATCTTAACATCACCCAGTACTAATCAAGAATTAAAGCAGTCGTGGATCAATCAGAATAATGATTTAATCTATAAGAAGCTGCCTCATGGCAATAAGAACCAATTTAAAATAAATATTATGCAAAAATAAACAAGACAGTTTTATTCATTAAATTTGTGGAAATGAAAACAATTAAAATAACAAAAAAGTTTCCATGCTTTTTCAAACAGTAACTGTTTAATGAATGAAAATGCACAAAATTTAATCAATTATCAGAAAATACAAAAAAAACTAAATGCAAATAAATAGGAAAGTAAGACTAATAAAAAAAAATTAAAGCTAAGCTCTGAGATAGAATTTTTTCCAGCTTTCTGCAACACATCTTTCTAATACTAATATATTTCTGCAAGATACTTTTAACAATAACAAATATAGATGTTACTAAATTAAAGTAACAAAAGCATCAATTTCAAAAGAAAGAAACTTTTCAGATCAAGTAAAATAATTTTTAAAAATTAACTATGTAATTTTTTTAATTCTAACATTATGGGCTTTATTCTCGCATTTTGTAGGGGGAAAACACACTAGTTATTTCCTTTTTTGCACTTTTGTATTGTATCATCATCTCATTAAAAAAAATAATAAATAAATAAAAAATTGTGAAATCTGTAGCAGTAAATCGGACTCTTCAAAAAAGGTTACTAAATACGCTTGTCATTTTGAGATTCAGTTGTTGAAATAAATATGCAAAAAATATCGGATTTTAAAACTATGTGGAAATCAATAGCAACAACTGCATTAAAAAATTTAAACGAAATTTTCCGCAGAAAAGAAAACCAATTTTTTTACTTCATTAATCTTTATTTTTCATTGTTCTCAAATGAGAATAGAAAAAGCATCTTTTCCACTCGAATGCATAAGAAAGGCATCTTTTGAATATAATTCCGAAGAAAAGATAATATCTTTTGAAAATTTCTGCAACAAAAAAAAAAGTTTTACTTCCCAAATGAAAAATCTTACTGCAAGAACTCAGTAACGGTTTGTGACAATGTCGCCGTGTCACCACGATTCTGTTATGTATTCTGTTATGTATGGAAGCTGATTCAGTTATGTATAATGAAAATGAAGATAATAGTTTAAAGTTTAATAAAAAAAAATTATATGCTTAATGATGCCAAGCAAACTGTATTATTATTACATTTGTAAACATTGTCCACAGTTGCTTCCTTTCCTATTAATTTACAAATGTTATTCAATAAACATGGTTTATTTTTTAAAAATTTTCTTGTAAATTGTTGGATATCGGAAATTTAATACACATACGGATGTGATGAAACTATTGATTTAACAATCGAAAAGTTTTACGAGTTGGGATTCAAAACCAAACTCGAAACTTTTCCAGCAGGCACCATGGAATAGAATTAAAATATGACAATGTCGAAAAGTGCCCTTTAGTTTATGAACTTAAAACATTTTTTTTGGCACAGAATAGCTTTTATTGTTGTCAAAAACCAAGATCATTGGTGACATTTCCATTATATTTTAACTAATTAAAATAAAAAGTATATCTTTAAGCATTAAATTTTAAAAAAAGTTTACTAAAAATGTCATTTTTTGCATTAAAATGTGGTTTACAGTAGTGAGAGTTTAAGTAAATAAATTTCTTAAAATTAGCTAAAATTGTAATGGTTCTTTAACTCATTTATCTACTTATTTTTATTACAAATTGTAGATAATTATTTCAAAATTATAGGCATTTATGTGCATTGCAAAAAAATATAGAAACTGAATAGATATAACAAGCATATAGTACAATTTTTTTTATAATTAAAATTCTATAAGGGTAAAATTTTGATTATTAGTTTTGGCACAAATCTTAAAGCGCATGCATTCCAACTTCAACAATTTAATTATAAACATAAGTACATAATAAAGCAACAAACTGTTAATCATAAATAAAATTTCATTACAAAATAAACATTTCGTTAAAGAGTACGCTTTTTAATGGCTTTTAACCTCCATTTAATGAAAACCAGTTAGACAAAACCTAAACCCCAGTTACCAGATATTAATATAAATCTTTGAAATTATAAGATTTAAAAAATGTCTTTTCAAAATACTATAAGTAACAATATAAGTTTGATAATTAAAACTCATTAACACAGCAATATAATTACAATTGAAAAAGTATGAAAATAATTTTAACACTTTCTTATCACACATAGTTATTACAAAATTTTTTTAACCACCTAATAAATCCTGTTTTAACAGACAAATGCTGAAAAAATTCAATTATTTAAAATGATAATTTAATTGTCCATACCTTCTACACTTTACAGTGTAGTTGTACTCACAACTCATCCCTTCATTATACTTTTTAAGTTATCAAAAATAATTAATCTCCGTCGTTATTACTTAAAAATCATACTCTGACATGATCGAATTAATTTTATCGGTTAAGGCTTCGTAAATAATGTAGTCATAATAATGCTGTCACCTTCATCAGAAGAAAAGTAATTCTTCAATCTAGGCAAAGAATTTTATAATTGTTTAAAAAGAACACAGAATTGGGGAGAGAACTTATACATTGATAATAGCAAAATAATTTATTAGTTTTTTCAGATCAAGATAAAAAAGATGACATTACTGATAATAACATATATTACTGATAAATAACATATTGATGTAAGAGTTAAAAATATAACGCTATGCTTGTATATACTTTACATACTATAATCGCTATCTTCACAGAAAATGTATTTATGAGATATTAAATTACAAATGCTTCCTTATTACAGTGACGTAATAAATTTTCCCCCAGCTTGGTACAAAACATTTTCTCAGAATAATCACTATTATTACCCAATGAAAGCTCAATCTAATCTAAACTTGAAAACCTAAACATAAGTAAAGATTAACATTAAGCTTCATATATATACTTAATTTAAGGTAGCAGTTTCAAATTGAATTAAGAGAAAGGAAATATCACACGCCTACATACCAGAATGTGTGTGAATCATACGCCTACATATGATATATTTTATCTAGAGCAGTTAACAATACAATTGACCACAAATAAATGGTTCGTAACACTACTATAACGTAAAATAACAACGAAGTTTCACTTACCCATACAATGAAGGCTTTTCTAAAATCGGAATACAAAAATAAATTAAAACACAGAATTGCAGCTCGCAAGAATTAGGATAATTTGCTGATCCTTTCAGCTGAGAACAAAACGACCAACTACACTACGTTCTACGTAGAAGAATGGAGGTCGGTGACGGTTGCTGATTAACTGTCTGTTTCACTGTTGTGGGTTTTTATTATGTCACCTAATGCAGGGGTTGAGGTGGAAGGGTGGAGTATACGAGAAAAAAAAATAAATCTAGATAAATGACGCAATATGTTCATATTAATATATACACATTTTCCTTGCAGTTGTTGAAACTTTCTATCACGATAAATTCTATTTTTATTCATTCTGAGATAAGAATCATTTTAGAAGGCTCACACGTGCACCATTGATATTATATTTATCAAATGGTGAAATTCATGAAATATAATTGCACAAGGTGGTCCCAAGCTTAAAGTACAGGTTGTTACGCAAGAACAAGAAAATTACTATGTAGAAAGAGATTCCAATAAACTACGTTTGAGATATAAATAAATATGTATGTTTTAATATATGTGTTTAAATGCATATATGTTTCTTTATATATATATATATATATCCTTAAATTCATTTATAAACATATAATTAAAATACATGGGCTTATTAAATGAAAATTCATTTTCCAAATATAATTTAAAATGAATAATAAATATCGTTTTTCCATTTTAAGTCTTTTTCATATTTCATAAAGCTAATATTTTTAGAGAATTATTTTTAATTTTACATAAATGATATTAAAACCATCGTAATATCGGAGTGAGATTTTTGCTAAAATTTCTAGAACTCTAGAAAAGTTCCATACAATTTTTTAATAATTAATACATATTTAAGATAAAGTTATTAAAAAAATTATAGAATCGTAAATTTTCTAAAATTTAGACACGACTCTAGAATTCAGTGGTCTCCATATTTCTCGAAAAAGAAAAGTAGTCATAAATATAGGCGTAGAGTGATAGAAATTTTCTATGGGGCACGGTTTTTTTTACGACTACTGTTTAGCTGCGTAGCCTAGTAATTTTGAACTCAGTCCAGAAGACAAGGGAACTCCTGGATCAAGTATTGGAAGAAATTTGCCTTCGTGTAGGAATTTTTGATGGAACTGGCCTGCATTTGCGCTACATGGACAGGAAGACCATGAAAACCTCCCACAGTTAGCCTGATGGTACGGGGACGCTAACCCATGATCCGTATACCACTGAGGATATTTTACGTTAGCACTGTGGTAGGTGCAAGGCGGAT